ATTGAAGGGCTTCCGACTCTGACAATGCAGTTTTCACTAGATCGTAAGCGACGGAGTCATAAGCGGAATCGGAAGAAAATGGAAACGTTCTGATTCTTCCGACTCCGATTCCGTCGAGCTTATGACTCCGCTTACGACTCCGTGTTTCGATTTTCACTGGGTCATAAGCGCTCTTACGACTCCGACTACGACTCCGACTCCGTCGCTAATGAAAACCAGCCTTTAGTAAACAAACTCGCCTACATAAGCGGGTTCACCTTTAGGGCCTGATTACATGAGCCGGGCTGATTTCTTTTATTTTGGTGTTCGTGAAAACAAAAGAAATCGACCGAGTCACCTGCCGAATCGCCCAAAGTAGGCCCAGTCTTCGAAACACAACTGGAGCCGCAAACTCCTGGGAAGGAGCGATGTTTTCTTAGCTCAAATCCAGTCGGGGAGCAGAAACCGAAAAATTAGAGTTTCGTTAAACCATCGTCCCGGAAAAAGTTTGACACACTTGATTCTGGTAATTCACGGAAACAGATTCCTTTCAATTTCGGATTGTTCAACTGGAAAATAACCATAAAGTTCAGAACTTTAGCATGTCCGAACCTCCTGTTACCACTGAAACTGAAAGCTCTCCATAATGACTTCGTCAAACTACTGATAAGTCGTTCGATTTAAAGCCAGTAGAAGAAGAATGTTAGGCGCTGTGGTGGAATTCCTAATATACATCGTTGAAAGTTTCACCGGAAGTGCGATCGAAAATTACTCCCCGACGATATGTCAAGGAGTTGATGGTGATATAAGAAGAGCTTTAAACGATGAAGATCAAGATGTTGAAGCTTTACTTGAGGAAGACGTCCTAAGAGAATTCACTGAATTTGATTCACGCGGTGTCGATACCGTCTTTCAAGAATTTGATCCCCCAGAAGGAAGACAAGGCAAAATGGCGTGGAAATTGTCGCGACCTCCGAAGCTTAAATTCCTTTTTACTTGTTTTAAGACGGTCTTTACGATGCAGTTCGTGGTTGGTTCTTCCATCGGTTTGCTGGCGATTGCAATCGCAGTGTTAGATTTCAACACCGCTGATCTTTGTTACGAGAAGACAACTCAATGGTACAGCATGCCACGAGGGATTCAAAGCATTCGGGTCACTGGCGCGTCGATAGAAGGGTTCTTTATCCAGCTGTGGCATTTTTCAATAATGGTATGCATGTTCGGGTTTTCAGTTATGAAAGAACTTAACCTTTTTACGGTCAATCTCCTTGCTGCTTTTACTGACTGTTGCTACCGCCTGTATCTACAAATATTTGGTATGTACAAACAGTCATGGATGAGTTACCCTTTGAATGTTCTGTTTGTCTCAATGGTGATGACGGATAGTGTGATCATAGGTAAGCATATCATACCCGCACATTTGTACTCCAAGAGGACCCTATCGAAGATTACAGGTCTTCTAGCCTTGCAGTTTATATTTGGTATACCTGTTTGTTTCTTACTTGTCTACAAGATCTTCCCATGGTATAACGAAAAATCGGAGATTGAGAAAGTGTTCATCGCAGGTTTAAGCCCATTATTTTTATCGATCCCGAAAGTGATCGTTCGCACAGCCGTACCAAAGTTCAACCTGGTTCACCCCGGAGTTTTGCACCTCCTGATAGGTTCTTTATATACTGCAGGAGCTTTTGTCTTTCGTGTTATGCAGGCAGAGTTGGTAAGCTTTTGGTTATTTGTCGCTTTAGGCGCTGGTCATGCTTTGGTTGACCTAGTGGAGCGCTTAACAGTTTCTATGAGGGATTACATCTGGGAATACGCCTACAAACTACTGTCTCGCTGCTGCAGATCACGCCCACGAGATTTCCCAGCAGGCAAAGCCCGCACCCCTCGAAGCATGCGTTTTGTTGCAGACGTTAGCATTCAACTTGTCATAACCGAAGCCAATGCCTTGGTGTCAGCGGTAGGATTCAGCCAGTTGTACAAGTTCACGTACCCGGATGACGTCCGAACGCCTGATGGTTACTTTGAGAATCTCATCTGGCAATTCTTGGCCCGTTGTGTTACTGGCCTAGCTATAGATGTATTTTTCAACACTATATCTTTGTGGCTGCAAGCGATGTACCTAAATGTTGCCGTGTTGAAAGTCTGGGGAAGCAAGCAGTGGCGATATCACGTCATTGCCAATGTAGTTTGTACGACAATGGTAGTTTTGTATTTCACAGAGTATCTGTTTGCAATAGTTAGAAGCAAAAGTGACGGTAAAAAGTTTAAAAGGTTTGCCTTTAATTGTTCTTTACCCTTTTCCAAATTCTAAAACAGGAATGGAACTGTGGCGTTATTTTAAAAAGCAGCACAGTATCTTGGATATCCGTCGTAATAGAAATAAGAAATTATGGCAAAGGATCTCTTCCACCAACACTGCGTTGAGCGATCTCTTACCTCCCCAGAGAACACGGCAGTTGAGAACTAGGTCGCATAATTATATTTTACCTAAGGTTCAGACAAGCCGTTTTGAATCAGTTTTTATTAATAGATATATTTTCAATAGTAATTAATACCTTTTCCTTTTCCTTATTCATTCTATTCATGTTAGCTGTTGCACGTCTGTTTGCACAATAATTCTTAATAAAGACCTTTATTTTTATTATTATTATTATTATTATTATTATTATTATTATTATTATCGTTTTCGAATTTGTCAGTTGAAGCCAAAGCAATTGTAATAATCATCTCGAGACTTTGATGGAGCTGGATGAACATAGTTTAATGAGCGAATGGAACTCACAAAGACAGAGCTGAATAACGTATACGCATGCGCTAGGTTTTGCCGCGGAAACACGGATTTTCAGTCGTTCGCATGGTTGATTTCGTATTCTGTAGCTTCGAGGCGTCGTTTTCCTTGCGCTTTTCTTTTACAGAACAACCTCCAAAAACTTGGTATACCCTCTAAAAATTTTCAAAAATTAATTTTCTCCTTAAAACTTCTGGAAATAGGAAAATGCCTTCCACCAAACTCAGAGTGCCTCGGTTTTAAAAGTCAGCCCGTTTTATTTTCCACTAAATTTCGCTAAATTTTAGACCTGAGACACTCTAGCCCGCGTTGTAGACCGCATACCCTCTGACGTAGCATTTCATTATTCAGCTCATTCACTCACAAAAGTATTAAAGCATGGCCGACTTAACACACTATCAGTCCTCTAAGCAAATGTCTACCACATTGTAGAAAAGATCGGTGATCACTACACATGAGCAATCTCAACTGCCAATCAGATCAAAGTTCGAGAAGGAATGAGAACTCAAAACAGAAAGAGATAATCTCGTTAGAGGGCTCGAAAAAACACGGGTGATTAAGTCGTGATCAGTTTAAGTTTGCATCTGATTGGTTGAGGTGGTGGAGCATGTTTTTCTGGGCCAATCATAGAGCAAAGCAAATTAATTATGAAACAATCCTGGATCATTCGCTCTCACGAAGGGCCAACGCTCGAAACTTCCGCTTTGAAATCCTTTACGGTGGCCAATTTATATTATCAACGCAGTTGATAAAAACAAATTACCATGTTATCCCCACCGATGCAGCACTACGGTTTTTTTTTTTTTAGAAACTTACCCCCTCCCACAATCCTCGATCATTTTTTCTACTCTATTTTAAATCTGTCTGTACTTTGTGTTGCTATCCCTCCGGGGACGAAATGCAGCTCCATTATTAGTTACCTTCTACATTTTGTCAAGTTTCTCGTACAGTCCATAGTCTTCACTCTTTGAACCATATCCGGTGATAAGCATCTCATTTCCCCCAACAGCATCACCCCTGAATGTAGAAAATAAAGGAAACGATCACCAACTAAGGGAGCTCTTGACTGTCTCCTTGTCAGCACCTTAGGAAATAAATAAATAAAGAACAGTACGGAGAATATGCATACTGATGTTAGGGTTGAAAAGGTTAAGCGTAGAGACTGGGTACCATATATGACATGCGCAGGAGTTACATTGTTTCTAGAACTCTTGAAAAATTGAAAGACAAAACGAACAATTGTAGACACGCACGGAAAGTCGATTCAGCTAATTTTTTTTGTCTGGAAATAGCTGAAGTACTACCTAGAGGAGAAAATCAGTCTGTGATTAATTATTATGCCAATTTTGGCTACTTGTTACACAGTTTAAGAAACATCCGCATCAGGTCAGTTATAGGTTTAAACAGTTGTAATTAGCTTCTCGGTCGGGAATTAGCGTATAGCAATCAAAGAATTGACATAGTCTATGGTATTACCACGCTATTAAAATAAAAACGTTTATGGATAACCTTTTATGTTGCCAGATCTGAAGTGTTCATGGCTTTTGTTACACCCACTGAGGACACCAAATGTTCAGTTCAGCAAACTACACAGAAGCTATTTGTACATCAGCCAATACTTTTTTTAAATCGAGAAAAACTCTTTCACTTTCGTATGGGGTGCCATTACCGCCAAAATTATATTTTTAAAATTATTCAGCCTCTTTTTCATTAACCACTTACTTTTATGAATTAACCATACTTGTCACAATATTATTTAGCCCATTTCAAAAATTATTCAGCCTTTTTTTCATTAACCACCTACTTTTACAAATTAACCATGCTTGACACAATATTATTCAGCCCATTTTGAAAATTATTCAGCCTTTTTTTNTCACGTCCTTTTCCTTGCAATATGGCCGACAGGAGAGGGATCGCGGATGTTACACGTTTGCTCTCCCAAGCTGCTACCAATTTGATAAGTCTAGCACCACAATCATCACAAGAGCTTCGAGAAACTAATACTACTTCTGATCGAGCTCAAGCTGAGTTGAAACGAGCGTTTTCTCCGTACCAAAAAGTTCACAACGCTCCATCACCAGTTGTAAGCAACACAACTGCACGTGGAACATCAAGTCAAGCAAAACATTTCACCGTCACAAGGGCCGCAAAAGGGAGGAAGAAAAAAACCAAAAAACTAACAGCAAAATTATTTTGTTTGGCATACACTGCACCAGATGAAGTGCCGAGTACTGAAGAGAAGAGGGAATTGCTAACAGCAGGCCTTGGAGAAAAAAAAGGTTTTCTTCCAGAAAACTCTAGTGCAGGAGAACTCCACGAGATGGTTCAGGCAACGTTTCCAGATCAGAAGTAGTGTTAGTTGCTCGAAGCTCTTGTGATACTAGACTTATCAAATTGGTAGCAGCTTGGGAGAGCAAACGTGCAACATCCGCGATCCCTCTCCTGTCGGCCATATTGCAAGGAAAAGGACGTGAAAAGAACTCTGGGATATATTTATAATCCCGCAAGTTATGTTGGGATATAATTAAAAACATGCCCCATGAAAAAAAGTTTGAATAATTTTCAAAATGGGCTGAATAATATTGTGTCAAGCATGGTTAATTTGTAAAAGTAGGTGGTTAATGAAAAAAAGGCTGAATAATTTTTGAAATGGGCTAAATAATATTGTGACAAGTATGGTTAATTCATAAAAGTAAGTGGTTAATGAAAAAGAGGCTGAATAATTTTAAAAATATAATTTTGGCGGTAATGGCACCCCATAATTTCGTGCATTGGCCCGTAACGAGGCAACAACAAAGTGATGGGCCCGATGGGCACGCATTGAGCCTAGCTGGCACCCAGTGTGCTCGGTTTCATAGAAAAGCCAGGCTACTAAGGCAAACATGGCCGCAAAACTGCGGGTGGGACTGTGAACATCTTCTTTTTTCTCCCGTCATGAACGAATATGAAGAAGATACTTGGAGTAAGTAAACAGTAGATTGTGCATAAAAAAATGTACAGAATTGTTTTGTACATTTTTTTGGGATAAGAAGGCATCCGTGCATCAAGGGCGAGTATAGAATTTGGCTAATTCCTTGACGCACACAGGAGATCAACTAAAAGACACTTTTGTATCTTGCAAACTATCTTGAATTTATGAGGGTATAGCTGTCAGGTTTAAGATATATCTTAAAGAAATCGATCCCCGTATTTCCGTTTCAAGCCTGTTCAAATGCAAATCTTGCACTGGTCAGTAACTGACAGTGTCACCTGATTTGACTTTGGTCCAAAAATGGTTTGAACCTGGGACAAACATTTGATATTGTATTCTTATTGTCGGATCGAGAAGTAGTCCTGAACGGTAATGTACAACCTTAGCAGAACTGAAGTCATTAACATTGTCAAGACTTGGACACTGAAGATGACTTCAACACAGGCCTGTCTTCAGGGGATGGCAGATGCATGAGCAAATTTTTCTTTTCTTGCCATACATGTCACATGGAAAAATTGCCTTTGAATGCAAGAGATCTTGTCAAGTTTTACCATGCTCAGCAAGAAGACTGGAACATAGGTTGTCTTATCATACAAGGGGCAAAATTACTGAATTGTGATTGGTCAAGAGAGAGGGCATTTTTTCTTAATTTTTGTAATTGCCCCAGGCAAAATTACTTGAAAATGATTGGCTGAAAATCGCTTAGCAATGGCTGCCAAGGTAAAGAAATTTCTGGTTTTTTTTGTAACAATGGCGTCCCGTTTTGCGTGAGATCAGTAAGAAAACATTTTGCCCCTTATATTATAAACAAGTAATCACATGGTTCCTCGTAAAATTAAGGATTAATATCACTTGTATTTTCGGAAGTTGCAGAAATTGCCCTCGTCGCTGCATGACTCTGGCAATTTCAGCAACTTCTGAAAACACGCGTGATATTAATCCATAATTTTACTCAGCCTCATGCTATTACCTATACAAAACATTCATCAATACTGCTAATAACTGCCAGATTTAGAGTTACTCTCAACCAGATGATTGTAATAGCTACACAATCACCTGATTTGACTTTGTGTATTTATTTTACAGATATAGCATCATGGAAGGCAGATATCCCTGGGAAAGTTTCTTATGTCAAGCACCTTTTGAGTTGTTCCCAGTTTCCAGACTGTAGTAGAGATGTCATTCTTATGTTAGAGAAATATTTGAAAGCCTATGCACCAGACACACCTCCAAACCCAGGACTTTATCTGTCAGCATTTCTTGACGATGTTGTTGACTTATACATATTTCACAGCAAGGGTTCTGGCTCAAAACCTTTGTCTGCCATTCAGGAACTTCAGCTCTTAGAAGTAATATGTTCCTGCTTTCAAGACCAACCATCTGATATTGTGAGATGTGGAGTGTTTTATTTGCTGTTTGGAATATCAAGTCAAGATATCAAAGATGGAAAGGTAAGATACATGTCAATAATGAATAGATTTGTGTGATGGAAATTTTTTTAATTACTCATTTCAACTGCTATGCAGGTTGTTGTGAGGATATCATTTGAAGGAGTAAGTACAATATTTCAATCTATGCAACTTTTTAGCTTGACCATACAATTCTTATGTCTAAATTATTCGAATATGGTATCCGCGGTATCGCTTATGAATGGTTTAGCTCATACCTAGATAATCGCCATCAACAATGTTTTGTAAATGGTTCGCTCTCAATTAGTCAAGTTCTCACTTGTGGAATTCCGCAAGGAACAATTCTAGGACCTTTGCTTTTTGTTCTATACATAAATGATCTTCCTAATTGCCTGTCTAATTCAGTTGCACGTATGTATGCCGACGATACTCACCTGACCTTTGCCAGTAACAACATAGAAATGATCAATGATGTTATGAATCACGACCTATCCAATGTTAACACATGACTTCTTTCCCTAATTGCCAAGTCAAATTCAAATGAATAATTGGCTGAAAAAATGATAATGAACCTTTTTTTTTTACAAGTGCTCACTACAGATGGAGGTTATTGGTACTTGGTTGGTTTTTTGTCATTGATTTTGGTTTTTCAAGGATCACTGAGTCTCTCTGGGGCAAATGAAATCTTTTTTGAATCAAAATCGAGCTCAAAAATTAATACCAGTTTAATAACTCATGATTAACTTTTTTTTTGTCTCCTTGTAAGGTACTTTTGACATTACTGATCAATCCTAACAATAATTTTGCAGTTGACATATGAAGTTAGTACATGTGCTCTGAATTATAGACAAGGTTACCATAGCACAGTAGGTTGAGCATTGAATCAGGAAATTAGAGGGCCTTTTGAGACCCTCTAATTTTCTTGATTAAAATTAAAATTTATAACCCTAACTGAGATTGTAACAAACATTTAAACTCTTTGTTACACATCTGTCTTCAACTAATTCATTCCACTAATTTATTTGTGTTTTTTTCGTTGCCATGTTCCCACCAATAACATAGCTCCATTTTCTGCCTTTAAAAGCACACACAACCCACAATTCCTCTATTCGCTCCGACGAAGGGCTGACCCTCGAAACGTCAGCTTTTGTAATTGTTAGGGTGGCCAATTTATCATTTCAACTTTGTTGATATATCCACATTATGTCTTCAACTGTGTTTGTTTCAATGCATGCTTTCTGATTGTGTCTTATCTTTACCAGAGACATCACCACCTACCTAGTCTAGTGTTAAAAGTGACATCATCTATTGTAGAAGACTACACATGCCTTGTGCCAGCTTCATTGCCATTCCTTCAGTCCCTTGCACGTCACTCCCCACAGATGGCTTGTCAGTTAATGATTGCTCTTATTAGTTTGTATCCTGTTGTTACTTCAGTTAATCAGCAAGGTGAGGAAAAATTCTGTGTGAGAATAAACTCAAACTAAATCAAGGCAACTAGAATTATGGATAAACCCTGTTTGGCTGGAGATTACACCACAAGAGCTTTTGGTCATGCTCCTGTCTTTAATCCAAAACTTTACTTAGTAGCTGTTGAATACACAGTCAACATGGAATCATAAATTAAGAACATTGAACTTGTGTGGTTAGGTTACTGATGTAAACATCATACAGACGTGTTCGCAGGAAAAATTAATTTTCTCTCTGTACTCTGTATTTCAGACCAAACAACGAATCCTTTTGATGGAAGCTTTCAATCCAAGATGACAGAATGATATTGATTTTTTTTTTCAGATGAAAGGTTATCAACTGGGTCATCAAGTCTACCTCCCCCGGCTCTCCTTAGAGTTGTGGCATCCTGGGTCAGTGACAACCCTGAACTGTGTATAATGACTTGTCCTGCCAATCTTCTGACAGCTGGAAGTTTGCGAGGATCAGTAGCTTCTCCTGAGTCCACCTCTCTTCCCATGGGTCCTGTGTTAGGATTACTGCGTTGGGTAGTATTAATGCCATTAGATTTCAATGTCTCCACAAGCTTTCTACATATGCATAAGGATTCTAGAGTGCTATGCTCTCAGCTTCACCTAGCAATAATTCAAGCTTTTTTACTAGCTGGCAAAGATAAAGAAGATCCACAAGATGAAATGGAACTGGAACCTGGAGAAGTTATGGACGAGTCAGACAATCAACATGTAATCAAAGGAACAGATCTGAAAGAACTCTCTCAAGATATGAAGAAACTTATAGACAAGTTAGCAACTGTAGAATTTAATCACAGCATCATTGAACAACAAGTTCAGTTGTCAATGGATAGGTTTTCTCAAACTTTACAAGTTGCAATGGCAACAGGATGCCTCTCCGCTGCCAAAGGTTCGTATACTTTATTATCTGAGTGTGTACATCGTGTTATCACCACAGGTGATATTTGAAAATTATCTCAAATATTATGGAGCTTAACTAGAACTTTAATCTTATTTTCATTGTTAGTGCTTCTACCAATGTCTTTCAAAGGGCTCAGGAATTTGCCTGCTTGTAGCTAGTCACAATTTTTCAGTTGTAAAAGTTTTTTCTGCCAAAATCCGATCCCCTGGCCTCATTATGAGGGAGGGGGTGTGAGAACAGGTAAAGTTAACTAATGGGGTTCTTGTGGAGCTGCAGAAGCTAATCTCCCATGCAGTGAATTTAATGTATCACTGAGTAATCAACAAATCATCGACGATTTCTTGCTCGAAAAAATCTAAGGTGGCTGCTAAAAGGCACCCATGACACTGCAAGGAACTGTGTTTCAGGTTTATTGTATATGAAGTCATTAAAATGTCTGAATTTTTTCTCCCATTCAGATGAGCTGCAATCTGTATGCGAACATCTTCCATCCAACAGGTGAGTTCTTTGATTCATCAAGGAAAGGTGTAAGTCATCTCAATGTTTTATACCACAATTTACACAAATGAAAATGTATATGAACATCAAAAAGTTTTATGAAAGGTGACACAAATGTACTATTAAATGAATAGAAAAATTCGTCAGTTCTCATTTCCTTGTTTCCAGTTTCCTGTCTGTCCCACTGTTCCAAAGAAATGAAGCATCTCATCTCAATTTATCCAGGGGTTGGCTTCCCAATAATATAAAGGATTCTGTCGGTATTTCTAGCTATAAAGTCACTTCATTTTTTGGTAATACTTAGAATTTCAGTTTTAATTCAATTTAATATTTTTATACAAGATTTTATACTCTGATAATTGTTTCTTAATATTATAGATATATTTTGTTAGCTTACTGGGGAGCATCCCTCGCATGGTGCCTACGACACTTTTGGATGCTGCCTCTCCATCATCATTATTATTATTATTTAATTATTTATTTATTTAGTAACTTAGATTTGGAGAAACTGTAATAAATAAACAAATTAATTAGTTTATCATTTATAGTCCATGATAATCTGCTCAATCCTTCTTCCTCGTTGTTTTATTCTCGGGCATTTTTTCACCTGCATACACAGTAGAGTGAACTTTTTGATTGTTTGTCATTTTATCTGCTCGAGATGTTATGAAAACACAAGAAAAGTTTTTAAGTGTTCTCCCAAAATGATCATTTCATTACTAAAGCGATCAAGTAGAAATTGTGAGCTACTGCTTTAAAAAAAGAGCTTTGGGTTGACCTGCACAAGAAATTATTCATTTTCGCTGCCCAGTTAACCCAATGGATAATGCGCTGGACTGTTGTGCGGGAGGTTGAGGGTTCGAGTCCCAGCCAGACCAACACTCAAGGTCTTAAAATAATTGAGAAGAATTTGCTACCTTTCTACAACATCAAGAAATGGTTAGATATTCTAGTCTTCTCGGATAGGGACGAATAAATGGAGGTCCTGTCTCCTGCAGGGTTGGAGTAGGAGACGTTAATTTCTCACGCACGAGATTACTGTGTGATGGATGTCCTCCCCTGGGTGGGATGGGTGGGAAGGTGGACTAGCTCAATTGGTTCATACAGACCACTTTCATAAATGGCTGCCTGATTAATATTCTTTTGTTTAAATTTAAATTAGCCCTTCTGGCCTTGTTCTCCAGTACAAAATTCAAAAGAATATGTTATCTCAACTGAGGCCAGAAGGGCTAATTTAAATTTAAACAAAAGAATATTAAACTGGCAGCCATTTATGAAAGTAGTCTATGTTCCCTTCTAGTCCTTCCCCACTGCAAATTAATGCAGTGAAAATGGAAATGGAACAAATCATAGTGCATGTGATGTCCAAGTTAGTTAACCAGAGTTTCATTTCAGGGACACATTCCACCAAATCCTGAAAACAATTGTGACGTAGTTTAATGGTACGTTAGAACTTCTAATTACTGAACTGGTGTCTTAAAATTCTTCCACAGGTTGCTTTCCACAGTAATACAGTCTGGTTAACAGTCCTTGAAGATTTAAGGGCATGTGCTGTGTGCTTTACATGTCTTTTACTTGTTTGACTTTAGTTGCTTAAGTTTTCGAAATGGTACACTGGGAATTTGTAGAGCATTGAGCTTATTTTAAAGCTGTGGTTCTGCCAAGAGAATTAAAACATTTCTGTCAAAACCTAGGTAGTTAATACATTTATCATACAAACTGAAATACAAACGTTTATAAACTGTGGTAACAGATTTGTTCAGTGATCTTTTTACATAGTTATCCTTATTATTCCAGGGTATTTGTTTAACCCAGGATTCCATAAGATAATGGACTCTGACTTGACATTATAGCTTCAAGTTAAGTTTCTAGTGAAAGAAGAGTTTAGTATCAGTTCACATCATTTCCAGTAATTTCACATCATTCACTGTCATCTAACATCATTCATCGTCATTTGACATTACATACCATCAATTAGCATAATTCACTCTCCTCTTGCACCATTTAGCATTATTTCACATCAATTAACGTTGTTTGGAATCTTCGTTATTTTGCATTATTTATTTTCATCATTTACACTCCTTGCATGTGATGAAGAAGCCTGAAGAGAAACCAAGAGGCTTGTATGTTGTATAGATTAAGAATTTCCATTAATTCCAATAATTTAGATATAGGTTTAGTGTGAGCACCTACGTTTCAAGTTGGAGGGATAAGTGGAGACTTATACCATATCAGTTTAATTTCAGAGCTGAACAGAGTTTCCAGCAATCTGATTGGTTGAGCGGTTCCTTATATGATACTATACAAACCACTCCACGCAGTTTATAGAAAATGTTAAAATACAATGTTAATAAATATTATTAAAATGTTACGATTTTAGAAATTTCTCTGTTCAGTTCTGAAATTCTACTAAAACAATTATTCGCCTCAGGTTTGGTGAATATTCTCAAATAATCCCCTCGACTTTGTCTCAGGGATTATTCGACAATATTCACCTCACCTTCGGCGAATAATTGTTAAATGCAATTAAGTAAAGTTGAAGGAGGTGGCCAGAGATTATAGATTATGCCAATAAATGTTGCAACTTTGTTAGCGATATAAGCATTGTGAGATTTCCATGACAAATTTTCGTCAAGAATGACAACTAAATACAGATATTTTCAAGCATTTCAACACATCTTGTAAGAACAAATACTCTCTTTCTTGCGTTAATATTTTGGATTCTGCTAACAACTCAAAGAAGCTTTTTATATAAATAAGACCAAACTTGAACTTAACAATTACAGAATTATAACACTTTTCTAGCGTTTTAGTTCACACCTTTGATGTTTGGTGTCACGTTGTAATTACTACCCGCTTTTGTATTACATCATACTGTAAATATTTTATTCATCTACTTGTATGCTATATAATTACGTTCAGTTACTCATTGATTGAAGATGGCATAAGCATGCTGAAACATGTCTCTCAAAAAAGTTGTCTATTTCTTACAATATTTATCATACTTGCTACTACTACGACCTTATAAAAAACACTCGTAGACTCGGTCAACAGTACATCGGTTAATCTCTAGTTTGACGTCAAAGGGGAACTGAAGCCTAAAAATGAACCATTTTTAAATTGCAGCTTATAGCTCAAATAGCAATATTCGAGGGTTTTTCAGTCTTTGGGCCCAACTGCGCCTCGGAAAAATAGTTTAAAGTGGTATTTTGGCCTCGTAGTACGGCGGCTCAAAAAAGCGATGTCAGCGGTCATTTTAGCTCGTTCCTACGTCACTGGTGGGGAAGAAAGATAACAAACCCGTACTCTTCCTACAGAAATTTGGTTTGGTTAGGGAGTTATCGAAGTTGCGTGACTTGTAATGGGATTAACTATGAAAATGAAATAGTAACAGTTGTTTTTCTTAAGTTGGTTCCCCACCACTGACGTCATAAACGACCGCTGCTGACCTTTTTTGAGCCAACGGTCTTACTGCCCTAAAAGCGGGAAAAGGCAACGAAAATGAATATCGACACTATCTTTCTCCTCTAAAACTAACTAGAAATGAATGCAAACAATATACCAATTTTAAGCTTCAGTTCCCCTTTTAAGGGTTTCCCTTTACTCTCTTAGTTTGAAAACCTTGAAATTTGATTTACTGATATTTATTGATAGCTTACTGGCTCAACACCAGTCTGATAAGTTAGTAATTCTTCATTAGGTTTTTTCGATAAAATTCAAATTTTTATGAGGAAAAGATTTTTATATCATCAGCTAAAGTGTGAAACCCAGGCTATGAGACATCTCGCATCATAGAATATAGGAAAAGAACTAATATATTCAATATATATACGCGAGATATATTCAAAGAAAGAAAATTTGAGATACTATTATAATCGATTAAAGAATACATGACGATACTCAAAATGCGCGAGATAACGTAACAATCAATACGAGAGGATACTTAAAATGCACGAGATAACGTAACAATCGAAACAGGAGGATCCTTGAAATGCGCGAGATAACGCAATAATCCGCACGGAGGAGGGAATGGGCGATACTGTCGCAACAATCGAAGAGTAGAGGATATTTAAAATGCGATGACAGGATGCTTACAAAGCACGCGATAATATTGTAACATTCGAACATGGTAAGAAACTCAGTAAGAATGCGCGAGATACTAAGTACGTAATTATCAATAGCGCGGTTTACAAGCTCCAACGATGTGGAAAACGTCTTCTCGCGTTGAACCATGTCTCGTGGAAGGCGATGACTAGTTATGTTGAATTTTCGGCAGGAAGTATCTACAATATGAAATATTTCCTACAAGGAAACAGTTACATGGCCTCAAGAAACCACACCTCCCAAAGCAAGGAACTGGAGTTGCAATAGCTGCCTGGAGAACTGCGTCTCAATATTTAACAAATGGTGAACATCACAGCGTACACTATTGAGTTATGGATGCACTTGGGAGGTTGCTAAGTACGAAAGAAGCGTAAGAGTCGCTCGAGGCGATAGCCTCGAGCGACTCTAGTTTCTTGAGTGCTTAGCAAACCTCCAAGTGCATCCATAACTCAATAGTGTACGCTGTG